GGCCTGGAAGAACAAAAGGACATCTCAACCTGAGACAACAGGGAGGTTGGGGATAGCTCTTGGTGCCAGACACATACCTGGCAAGCGCATCTGTGTACTGGGTTTCTTTGAACAATTTTTCCATTTCCTCCACCTGCCCCAGTGTGAACTGCAATGTGGTTCGCCGCCGCCTTCGTGAGGAACGGCGCCTCGGAATCTGAATCACAGGCTCGGCTAGGGCCTTGGCTCCTTCTGGTGAGGCTCTGAGGAAGAGGAGTTCGGGTCCCTACTGTTCTCCTCAGAGTCGTTTTGGCCCTCACGGACCTGGAAAACCCCGTTATTTAGGTCAATTACGCAGCAGGCGTCACGTCCACTAGAGTTGCCACCCACCATCGCCAAGGCAGCCTCTAAGGTGGGGACCTGAGCTATTTCCTCACCATTATCATTCTTACTGGCCATGACTAGTAGTGGGCCGAAGCCACAGAGAGAAGTGGGGCCCCAGGAATGCCCACACTCAAGGCCTATTGTTCGGTCAGTCTCTGCTACTGACGGGGCGTCAAGAGAGGGCCCGAGGAATGGGTGACGTCAATGTGTCCTTCTGCGCATGCTCCACACTTCTCCATGTTCCTCACGGTTGACGTCCACACGCTCCTCTCCAGAAGGGCGCCATAGTTTTTTCCCTTCCTGACTGACTGCTCTGGGCTTTCTGAACTCCTGCTGAGGTAGGTGGTATTTGCTTTGGTGCACAAATGGTGGGTGTGGCCCAAAGATGAGGAACTGAGGGAGCCACTGTGAACAGGCTTGTGAAACGTCGTGTGAAATTAAACCTTGTTTCGAGGGCATGCGTGTAGAATGAGTTTTAGCCTGCATCTGCATATATGCGCACGCTGCCTGTTCCTCTTAGGTTGTAGAAATGACACTAAAGGATGAATTGTGTAGCATTGAAAGATAATTGGGGAAGTATGGAAGAAAGGTGGGAACACACACTGACCACAGGACCCTTGCGTGAACATGTAGAAAATTTCTGTGGACCGCACCCTCCACCTACTACTGCTGCTCAGAGAATGGGCTTAGAACTAACTAGACATGATCAGCTTAGTGGCTGCTAGTACAAGAGTCCCTGTTAGTACATTGAATGCTAGGTAGCCATTCTTCTTCAAGCTCAACATCAAGATCTTGGGACTGGGTTTGAATATAATTCTAGTTAATGGCACTGTCGAAAACCAAACAAAAGACACCCCCTCCTCTCAAAAGAAAAATGATCTGTTTGAGAAATAATTACCTCAGATTATAATAATTTTATAATCTCTGATAAATTCCACATGTAATATTTGCCTCAGTTCTTATCACTGAGGATGTTGATGCGGTCCTTTCTGTTGGATTGAAGGTAAATACGTAAATATTCAGGCAGTGTTTAAAACAATATTTGGCATGTGACATATGGCATATGGTACCGTTCAGAAAAGTAATAGGTGCCTGAGTTAGACACTTTTGGAAGTGGGGAGGGTCAGTAGCACCCTTCCTGACAGATTCCCAGAAGTAAAGAAAATTTTGCCTTGTTCAGGATTACAAATTGCTCCTGAAAAGATACAAAGAGGAGATACTATTAATTTATTTTAGGATATAAAATAGGTCTACAAAAATTAGACCCCAAAAGGTACAAATTAAGAAAGATTAATTATGGACTCTTAATGACTTTCAAAGATTATTTGGAGACATTTCCCATCTATGAACTGTTGGAGAGGTAAAAAATGATGAATTGAATAATTTGTTCAAAACCTTAGAAGGTGACAAAGATTTAAATAGTTCAAAAGAATTATTTGCTGAAGCTGAGAAAGAATTGGCCTTGGTGGAAAAGAAAGTACAGGAAGTACATGTGGATCATGTGGATCCAAAACTTGATTGCATTTTGGTTATTTTACCCTCTAAGCATTCTCCTACAGGAATTTTAATGCAGAGGGAAGCTATTATATTGGAATGAATATTTCTACCAAATAAACAGAGTAAAAAATTAAAAACTTATGTGGAAAAGATCTCGGACTTGATTTTAAATGGAAAATTGAGACTTTGTCAATTAGCAGGAATAGACCCAGCAGAAATTGTAGTACCTTCAACTAAGAATGACATTGAAAAATTATGGGTAGAAAGTGAACCTTGGCAAAAATCTTGCAGTAAATTTGGGGAGAGATTAGCAGAAAATATCCCAAAATTGATACAATTCAGCTTATAAAGAGAACTGATTAGATTCTGCCTCACATTGTATGGGAAATACCCATATCTAGAGCCTGTACATTTTATACAGATGCAAACAAACAAGAAAAGGCAGGTCACAATTCAGAAAATTTAAGTAAGTGGTTCAAAGTCCTTATAATTCAGTTCAAAAATCAGAATTGTATGCTATTCTGATGGTATTAATGGATTTTTTGGAACCTCTCAACATAGTTACTGACTCTCAGTATGCTGAAAGAGTGGTATTACATATTGAAACTGCCGAATTTATCCCTGATGCTTCAGAATTAACTTCACTATTTATTCAATTACAAGATACAATCAGGAAAAGGAGTCATCCTTTATATATAACTCACATCCGATCTCATACTGGTCTGCCAGGCCCTTTAGCACAAGGCAATGTATTTTTCCATAACCGGGCAACAAGCCAAGGAAATTATAAGGAAATATCCTACTTATTCTTTTTAAAATCAGACTTCACTACCAGCAGGATGTAACTCAGAGAGTACTCAGAAGAATGAAATCTGGCAGATGGATGTGTTTCACTTTGTAGATTTTGGAAAATTAAAATATGTACACCACACTATTGATGCTTATTCAGGATTTCAATGGGCAACTTCTATGAGTTCTGAAAAAGCTGAATCTGTAATCACGCATTTGCTGGAAGTTATGGTCATCATGGGGATATCTGCACAAATTAAAATTAACAATGTTCCAGCATCTGTCTTTGGTACAAGAAAATAGATTTTTGCTTATTACAATATAAAGCATATTACAGCTATACCACATAATCCTACAGGCCAAGCAGTCATAGAAAGATCAAACAGAACTCTAAAGGATATGCTAAATAAACAGAAAGGGGTAACAAAAAAACCAGAAATAGATTGCATAATGCTCTATTAACTTTGAATTTTCTCAATGCTAATGAGAATAGAGCAATAGCTGTGGAGTGACATTGGATAATAGAAAAAACTACTGAGTTAAATCAGCCTATATACTTTAAAGATGTGCTGACCTCAGAATGGGAACCAGGATATGTGTTACATTGGGGTTGAGGTTTTGCTTTTGTTTCTACAGGAGAAGGTAAGCTGTGGATACCATCAAAATTAATAAAGGTTTGATTTAAACAAGAGAGACATCTTAATTAGAAGAGGTGATAATTCATAAACCAGCATGATCATCCAATTAAAATTAACTTATATCACTAACAAATGTTTTTCATTTAATCAGATATAACTTGCCAAAAGGGGACCTCCCCAAAGTTAGGCTTGGAGAAGGGATTTTGTTTTTGTCTTTCAAGAGAATGACAGCTAAGGATTCTGAAGAATATTGGACAAATGAGACATTTCAAGAAAAGGGACAAATCACCCAGAAAAAAATGTCTCAAGAAAAAGAGTAAATTGGCCTATTGTTTTATCACATATAAAATTTCATAAGTCTTCCTTAATATTTGTTTCTACTCTTCTCTCCAGACACTTAACACAACCCTAGGGTTTTCCCTGCTCGTGGAAGTTTGGGGGAGGGTCAGGATTAAAAATTCAGTTCAAATTTTTTAAGGTTCATTTTTCTTTTTCTTTATGTGTATGTATTGCTCACTTGTTTGTATTTGTACATGTGTGTGGGTGTAGACACATAATAAGGCATATGACACCTTTTCAGAAAAAATAATAGGTGCCTGAGTTAACCACCGTCGAAAGTGGGGAAGGATCAGTAACTCTCTTCCTGACAGATTCCCATATGCCTTACAATGTATTTTGTGTGTTTCTAAAAGTTGACTACTTGGGTGTCCAAGGGTTTGTCAGTATAGATAAAGAGACAGAGACCCCGAGTCTGCAGCACGCTAATGCAGGAAGCTGGAGTCTTTATGGTGGATGTGGAGACATGGAAGTCACTTGACATTTGTTGTTTTTTTTCTTTTTTGGATTTTCAAGACAGGGTTTCTCTGTGTAGCTTTGCGCCTTTCCTGGAAAGCACTATGAAATCCAGGCTGGGCTCAAACTCACAGAGACCCACATGACTGTCTCCCGAGTGCTGGGATTAAAGGTGTGCACCACCAACAACAGGCTTGGCACTTGACGTTTGTACTTGGGCCTCAGAGGACAGTTTTTCTCTCGCTGACTGCCACACAATTTCTAGGAGACCTCTGCATTATAACTTCAGAGGGGGAAGAGAACAGAAGGCAAAGAAAGAAGCAGTTAAGAAAAAAGAAAATGGGATGGGCAGTATCAGCTCTATTTAGCTAAATCCCAAAACTTGAGCTCTGTTTATCTTGGGACTCTGAATGAAATGCCTTGTTCAGAGCTTCCTTAACCAGGAAATGGGGATAACACCAATGGCACAGGACAGGGATACCATCAGGGTTCATTGAGTTACTTGCAGAGTTTGACATCCTTTTACTTCAACTTCACAAATCAGTGTACCGGTAACTACAGTTTACTTCCCCTGAATAGCATAATCTCAGCACTAGGACAGTGCTTCCAGAGCCTATGTCAGCATGGATGCCTCTGACTTCTGAATTACTGTAAATAGCCTAAGCAAGCTGCCTATAACAATCCAGTGCATCTCATACTCAGCTCTAAACAGGTTGTCCCATCAAATCACTCCCCTCAGGGCTCAGGGAACCCCAGAGAAGAGGAGGCAGAAAGAGTGTAAGAGCCAGAGGGGATGGAGGACACCAGGAGAACAAGTCCCTCCAAATCAACTGAACAAAGCTCCTGTGAACTCTCAGAAACTGTAGCAGCAAACACAGGGCCTGCATGGGTCTACACCAATCCTCTGAATTCAGTTTAGTGTTTTATGGGACTTCTGCGTGTGTTGACAAAGGGTCTTTGATTCTTGGGGTCAGTCCAGAAGCCCTGGGACTTCCATGTTTTCACCTTGTGATTCCAGAGCTGAGAGAATATTTCTCTAAGTATTCCTAGTCTCTATGTGATTGTGAGTTAAGCACCATGCTCAGTGGCCTGAGCAAGGGCTGTGCTCAGGCCTCATTCCCCACTCCTTGGCTCATTTCATGCTTCAGACACCATGCTCTGAGTCTTGTCATTTGCCTCCCTGCCTGCACTGTGCCCCTTTCCATGCCTTCCTTCACATCTCCCGGGGTGCAGACCTTTCTTCAACTTACTCCTTTACGTTCTCAGCTTCTCCTCTCCCTTCACAAAGGGTCGTGGTCCCTCGGCTTTCCCTTATGCCTCCTGTCTCAAGTAGACAGGGCTGGTACCTCAGACTCATGGAATTTTCCTATCTTTTCACCGTGTAGTATGCTTTTGTTCCCCTGCTATCTACCCTGAGGTCATGCAGGGGAGGAGCCTGACATCCAGTCTCTCCTGAGCTGAGCCCAGACTCTGAACTTAAGACTTCGTGTGTGCCTGGCCCACGTTTAGCAAAGCTCCTGCTCAGTCAGTTGAGCTGTCATGTATAGCCTAGCACTCCCGATGTCTGCTCTGCATCCTCATCCTTGCACACACCCAGCAGATGTCTGGGCACCCTGACCCGA